TAACTTTGCATTCAAATATATTTCCAAATTAGTGAGTCTTACGGAGAGAGTTAACATAGCATTTAACCAATGATCGTCCAAGTAATATGTAATGGGATTTTTACCTGAAATCTGATGAACATTGTTATATAATCCCTAAAAGACTACTATTATTATACTATTTCATCCCTTGACAACCTGACCCTTCTCTATTATCGAGAAAGTGATCCCCAGTGGTTCCCAGGTTACATTACATGGTGATTTTACATGATGCTTAACCTGAGCACAGCGTGGAAAATGGAATGCGATAGCTTGAAGTATTCATTTAGGATGCTATAGGGAGATTTATCAAGGCAAAACAGGTGCTTTCCTTTGCTCAGTATTGATAGACATTCTATTGGTTTCCATGGTGATTGCCTTGTATTTAGCACTTTGCCCCAGAATAGTACATGTTTTTCCACTGATACTTTTAAATATTCCTCTTCCCTGGCTCTAGGGCATTTCAACTCCTAAATTATCTGCCTGATACCTTTATTTGTTAGTTCTCTAAGGCAGAGAATAAGACACATTTGAAAGGCATATTAGCTAGAAAAAAAAGCCATTTTTTTATATTGAACTAGGAATGCTGGATTGGCTATTTATTCTGGGCACATATGTACATATTGTACTTCTACTTGTACATTGTATTACAAATTCTTTTACACAGAAGAATACATTTTTTTTTTTTCTAAATTATTATTGCTCATGGATGGATCACAAAAGACCCACCATGTTTAATTTATCACTCACTGGAAGCCTATGGATTCTACATAGTGACATTTGTCCTGTGCTACACTGTGTACAGCTCCCTATTGCATGCAGGGTGGCCACAGCACTACTAACTCTCCTGCGTTAGGAGCACTATTCACCTTATTCAGACACATACATGGTCCTCCCTGTTTAAAAAAAGATGTAATTGAATTTCTCCTCCTGATGCTCCCACTATTTTAAATTGCCTTTCATTAAAGTGATTTCATCATGCCTGGCTGAATCTTGTGGTGTCTTCTACTCTCGCAGAAGCAGTCGGAAAAAGCTAATAGGGCATTGTTTTCTTCTACACTGAGGATGGGTTACTCACGGAATTCGGTTGATCTGACCAAGTCTGTATCATCAGTTGGAAGCGTTTGGTGTCTGGTTTACGAGCAGTGCTTTTTACATCCAAACCCTATACAAAGTATAGAATTTGGAATATGCACAAAGCATTGATTTTAAACTGAATCAGGGCTGAAGGCATCCAATAATATGCTGTAGTTGTAGCACTAATGGGGTGCTCTTGCAACATCAGAGGGAAACTGGAACTACAAGTTCTAATTTCCAACTTTGCTCTGACCTCAGAGTGCCCTACTTTGCTCCTCAAAGTACTCAACACTTAAATGGAAATGGGAGTACTTCTATTTTTTAATATCAGGTCCTCCAAAGCAGCCCATCTAGTGTGGTCTTGTTGTCTCTGTGTCATTTTCCTACTCTTTGGATATATGCATGTAAACTGGAGATAACCAGCATATGGCCTAACTAATGATTTCTCCCCTGACTGCTAGTACTGGCCTTGGGTTATGGACACCAACAGTCACTGAAATTCGGTGATCAATGAAAATGTTCACCAGATTTTGGCTGAAATTATTAGACATGTGACCAAAAGGTGATCAAACTGAAAAAAATAAAGTATATTTTAGTTTGACTGAATGACCAATAACACCAAACATTTTTCCTGTGCACATGTCTACTTAACAGGATATCTCTCTCATATAATATAATATGTATTTAAGGTTTAAAATGGTCTTAATGGCTTCCTTCTCCCAATCACTGAGATCTATGAAACCATGGGAGAATTATGCAGCAGGTATTTCATAGTTACACATATAGTCACATAGTTACATAGCTGAAAAGAGACGTTCATCAAGTTCAGCCTTCCTCACAAATGTTGTTGCACACACTTTCAAGAGAAAGGAAGGGATTATTCAACAACAGAGGGAACTGGAGCATTAAACCAGAGCAGGGCTTAATGCATGAAACCCGGTGAGTTTTTTTCCTAACATTGGGAAATGCATATACATTTTTGTTGATCATGTGTATTTCTTCATAATTTACATTCTTGTAGTGTAGAACACAAAGATCCAGTTATTTTAGTACGTGTTTAGTTCCAATTTCTTTCATTAAACATTTTTGGAATTGACAATTGGAGAACACTAGATAAAGAAATGCAAGGCCAGGACACAATATAGTACACGTATTGATAATAAAGGAACGGAAATAACAATGTAATTATGAAGTACACATAATTGACGATTGGTATCATAAATAAAAATATATCCATAAACCTTATTTAATTAAAACGAGAATCTTATGAAAACAAAACCTATTAGACTCTATCATATGTTGCATAGTTATATAGCTGAGACAGGCCTGGACTGGCCATCGGGCAAATGCCCGGTGGGCCATGATGGCCATGGGCCAAGGTCAGCAGGAAAGATCAAAAGATCTCCCCTGCCAGCCCATGCAGGGCAGCACCGGCCAAAGATGGAGTTCTGTCCCATCATGGGCTGGAGGGAAGATTGGGCAGTGAAACGGTTACCCTCCGTGCACACCGAGCAGCTGCCTTCTCTCCCTCTCGCGAGCTCCGAGATTATCAGAGTGTTGCCATGGTAACCCACAGCACCACTCTGCAAAAAATGTTCTCGCGAGAGGGAGAGAGAGATGGTCTGTACCCTGCGGGCGTGACCGCCCTCACTGGACCACCAGGTACCTGCATGTTTCCTCTCCCCACTGCACAGTTATAATAGGGACTAAATGTTGTTGTTGTACTTTTTTTTAAATTAAATAAATAATTAATTTAAGACCATATCTATATACACCCCCTTACACATAAACACACAAACACACTACAGACACTGCACCCCCTGCACTTACACACACACACACTGCACCCCCTGCATTACCACACTACACACTGCACCGCCTGCACTAACACATAGACACACTGCACCCCCTGCACTAACACACAGACACACTGCACCCCCTGCAATAATACACAAACACACTACACACACTGCACCCCCTGCACTAACACACTACACACACTATACCCCTATATACACACTACACCTCCTGCACTTACACACAAACACACTGCACATATGCTATACCCCTCTATAAATACTACACACACTCTATATCCCTGTATGCACATTACACCCCCGGCACTCACACAAACACACTCTATACCCCTTATATACACACTATACCCCGAGCACTTACATACGCATAGTAAACACACTCTATACTGCCTAAACATACACTACACTCCCTGCACTCACATACTTTATACCCCTATAAACACACATATTACACCCCCTGCATGCACACACTAATTTCTATCCCCTATAAATACACATTCTACACCCCCTGTACACACTACACCACCTATGCATACATTGCCGCACCTATACACATGTGCTCTACAGCCCCTATATGCATACACACACTAGAGGCACTCACAAACACACTTGCATACACACACTACATCCCCTAGGCCCACATACTCCACAGGCCCTCTAAACACACGCACATACACACATACTTTACAACACAGAAAGACACACACACACTACAGCCCCTAGCCACACATAGTACGCCACAAACCGACCCCTTTACACATACAATGCAACACAAATAGTTATTTGGTGGGGGGTGCGTGTTGATGGTGGTGACATTACACGTCCCCTTTCTGGCCCAGCCCCTCCTAGTAGGCTGATGTGCCTTGAATTGCCTGGGCTGAATTTTTGTCCCAGTGCAGCCCGAGATGAGACATGCCTCTACAAGTTAAACCTTTCTCACATTTGTTTTTGCTGTTGATCCAAAAGTAGTCAAAAAAACCTGTCTGAAATGCTTCTAATTTTGCAACAAACTAGCAAAAAATTCCTTCTTGACCCCAGAATGGAAGTCAGATACCTCCTTGGATCAAGAAGCTATTACCCCACTAACTAAAAATTATACCCCTGTGTATTATGTTTGTGCAAGTATTTATCCAATTGCTGTTTAAACATCTGTATAGACTCTGATAAAACCACCTCTTCAGACAGATAATTCCACATCCTTGTTGTTCTTACTGTAAAAAACCCTTTCCTTTGATTTAAACTAAATCTCATTTCTTCCAGTCTAAATGCATGACCTTGCATCATGTTTATGAATAGATTTCCAGACAATGGTTTGTATTGGCCCTGAATATATTTGTATAATGCTATCATATCTCCTCAGAGGTACCATTTTCCAAAACTAGAGAGATTTAAATGTGTTAACTTTTCTTCATAACTAAAATGCTCCATTCCTTTTATCAATTTTGTAGCCAGCCTCTGCACTCTTTCTAGTGCCATAATATCCACAATTGCAATCATATTCAAGGTGTGGTCTTACCAGTGATTTATAAAGAGGAAAATATATTTTCATCCCCAGAAATAATGCCCCCATGTATACATGATGATATCTTACTGGCCTTAACAATTGCTAGTTGACATTGCATATTGTTGGCTTGTTTGTTGTCTATAACAATTCCCAAATCCTTCTTGCCTGTTGCTACCATTTAAGGTGTAAGTTGCTTGTGCATTCTTGAAGTGCATAAGTTTGCATTTTTCTATATTAAATTTAATCTGCCATTTAATTTACAATTCTCCAATCTATCTAAATACCTATGTATTATTAGCAAGTGCAGAGTGACCATTAACTATTAGCTTACTATTAAACCGTATGTAATGGTAGTGAAACAAGGGACAGCCAGGGCAGACCATTTAGAATAATCAAATCAGAGAGTTAAAATGGTTATGATGAGTTTCTTTTAACATTATCAAGCTGTACTCATAACTCTTTTATAGCAAAAGGAGAAAGCAGTGACTAGCTTGGACAACATTTACTTGGAAAAAGATATGCCTATGCTTATCCTGTATAATTTATCTTAAAAATGCCAACATCTCCACAAAGGCTCATTTTACTTACATTACGGTATTGTCATCAACTAAGATATCACAGCCATGGGCTGGGCAGGAGATAGTCTGGGGGAGAAAACAACAAGTGTGTAATTAAACATCGTGGACAATAGAGATTGGATCAGAAAAGATTAAATACAAAAGTGAAGAGACATAAATGGAAGCAAAAAAAAAGTCAACAAGACTATGCCTGCTACCCACTCATTAAGTGTTTTCCCCAATATTACCTGTCCCATTCCTTCCTCTATGATTTTTGTGGTTAAGTACTCGCTCCAGCACTGCATACAAAACTTGTGACCACATTCAAGGCCTGTGAAATACTGAAGAGGAAAAACAGTTATGAGATCTTTAAAAACTGCTAAGCAGCGACGAAAAAACATGAAGTATGCAGTGATCAACACGATTTGCAGTCAACATTGATGGATTATTTGAGAGTGTACCAAGTAAAGGAAATAGAATAAAATACTTTTACAGAGGAAGCAGAGAATTACAGCAATAGATTCTTGAACGTGTCCAAAAAGTTGTAAACTATTATACATCACAACTTGATCATAAATGTCAAAAGGGATTACAAATCGCACTTTTACTAACAAAAAAAATTTATGTTTTCTGTAAACCTTTGAGAGATAAGTTCTAATTTAGTTCTTCTCAAAGTTTTCGTTTTATTAGGTTAAACTTAAACCTCATTAGAGGGGGTTAGCAGTTGGTTCATTTCAGGAAGGACCTCTACGTAGGTTACAGGGTTTCTTTTCTGTTAGGGCCAGTGTTTGGAGCACCCTCTACACCTAGTGGCATGTGCATCCCATGATCCAATTAATAATCTAGAAGCTAGAGACACTCTTGTGCACAAAGACACCCATGTCTTTTTAATCTGTACCTAACTCTTTATGTCTACATGGCATTTTCCAACTATAAGTAAATCGATTCTTCTGTGAGTCCTTGCCGAAAATTGCTCACATGCCAAATGATAAAAATGTTAAGAGATTAGAGTATATGCCATACAGTACTGCTAGTAATGATCTAATCCACAGCATAACGGAAACACCAAGTAATTTTGTTTTGAAACACTTACTGAATTGGGGTAATTCAAGTAGCAGATCTGACAGGGCATGTCTTGGGCAGAGGAACGAGTGTTCATTTGGCGCGTTCTTGACTTTTTACTAGGGTTAATAACGTGACATTCTGAAAAAAGTTTTTCCAAGTTCCCATCAAAATACCTGTGAAGACATGCAACAAGTTATTCGCTTAGACCGGAAAAAAGTTATTTAGATCAAGAATTATGGACATACAAACGCGAATTCACTGAAAACCTACTAGAACAGCGCTTTTTAACTCAGCCCAAAAAGACCAGGGCCCACTATATAGTGAACAACTAGTACTGTAGAAATATTGGGCAATGTTAAATCTATGAGAATTAACGAACTAGACAGTTGTGGTTTTGCAGGAAAAATGTTCAAAAGAAATGTGTAGCCGATAACTTACCGATTCTGAGTGTGAGTGTGTGTGTGTGTATAGTGTATATATAATGAATACAGGGTGTGTGTGTATAGTGTATATATAATGAATACAGGGTGTGTGTTTGTGTAGTGTGTATATAATGAATGCAAAGTGTGTGTGTGTAGTGTGTATATAGTGAATGCAGTAAGTGTATAATGAATGCAGAGTGTGTTTGTGTAGTGTGAATGCAGTGTGTTTGTGTAGTGTGTGTATGTGTAGGTATATAATGTGAGTAAAATGGGGGTGGGGCATTTTTATTTTATAATATAAATTTTTTTAAATTTGTTTTAGTCCCCCCTCCCTGCTTCTTACCTGGCCAGGGAGGGGGGATATGGCATTCCCTGGGGGGCCCACGGCAATCCCAGCAACACTCTTACTTACCTTCCCAGCAACTCCCCTGTATAACTCTCACACAGTCACACAGGCCGCGGGACTCGTGAGAGTTACACAGGGGTGCTGAAGGGAGCTGCTGGGAAGGTAAGAAAGAGTGTGCTGCGGGCCCCTCCAGGACCCTGACCATTATAGTGGTTATAATGACTGGAAAGTTCCTTTAATAATATAGGCATTATTTTACAGCACCAACACTATCCGCTGCACTATACAACGTGGATGCATAGAAGCAAGTAATTTACAAACAATATCATGAAGTGGCCTGGGTGCATTGGTCCTTTCATTTTGCAAAACATTGCAGCTTTTTAGAATTTGAAGTTACCATCAATTCTAACTTCAGTGAATAACCCTGTACGTTTTTCTAAAAAGCAAAAGGAGGCCGGACTGAAGGGAGCCTACATTTCAGAACTAACTATTGTTTTGTTTGTTTGCGACTATTGGTTCCCTTTAAATCTTTCAGCCCTTACATGACATTGTTATGACCAACCAAGATTGCAGTATTTTGAATTACACAAAGGGCTTAAGCATTTATATAAGCATGAGTCATTGTAAATGATTTCTCATATTTTGTATCTAAAACAGGAGTTATTTGCAGCTAAAAGGATCACTCCACATCACAAAATCACTTCAGCTTGGTGAAGTGCTTCATGGGTGAGGAGTATCCTAGTTTAACCCCAATTTATAAAAGTACTGATTTCTATGAGAAATCAACACTTTTAGAAATTAACAAGGGAGCACCCCACTGGTTGTCAAACAATGAGCCAGAGAGGTAGGCAGCCTACTTCCGTCAACTCCCCTAAGCCAACGGAAGTGGCAGGCACGCTCAAGTAGAGCATACTTGCCTCCTCCCACACAGATCAGAGGTGCGCGCGAGCAACAATTTAAAGGTGTCTCAATGAGAAGTTTTTTCCCTGTGAAGAGACTGAAAAAAGGGGAGTGCTTGTTAAAACTGCAGTTCATAAGATCTGTTAACATTTGGTGAGGTAGGCTTGTAATCTGCACAACTAAACAGAGTCTTGGCACATTCTGTGTTCTGACCTCACGTATGATAAAACCTGGGTGTTTTTGCTTTTCTGACCAGATAGCAAAGGTCAATTTCTCACCTTATACAGATGTAAAATAAAACAGGAGAAGGATGACGACCCTATGTTCTTACCTTTCCATTAGTTTCTCTTTGTCCCAGTTAAAATGACTCAGAAGTATTCTAGTGATAGTAGCTGGATTCTGGATGACTTCATTCACTTCCCGGATGCATTCCACCATATGTTGAAGTATCTGTTCAGCAGTGAGGACTTCATAACGGTAATCCTCATCTTCATCTCCACCAGGGCCTGGCCCAAGGGCACTCCCCCCTCCTTCCCCACAAAGCCCGGCTCGCTCTGATCCACCAAGCCCAGCTTCCACCAGTTCTACTTCTCCCAGTTCCAACTCATCATCATGTTCGTCAGCTGCACTGTCCTCACTACACTCCTCATCATCAAACTCATAGTTGTATCCCTCATCTGAGTCCATGATCCCAGATAAGGGTAAACAGAAATTGCTGTGAACCAACTCCTGAAACTAACTTATAGGATAGCTCTCAAATGGCTATGGTCACGAATCATAAAAATGAATTCTATGAAGCAATAGAACACAGATGTAATCTCAAATTCTAACAATAATGAACTTTCTTGCCTCCCACACACAAGAGTTAACTTTCTTGATTTAGGTCTGATCACACTGCTCCAGTTAGTATCAAACTGACCATCAGTTGAAAAAGGTCACCTACTTTTGTTAAGGTCACCTCAAAAATTCCTATATCACACGGAATCTGTAAAAGTATTATTTTTTTCAGTTTCAGTATCTAGAGCGGAGCAATAATACATATAAAGAAAGGCCTAAGGAAGATTTCTTTTTTGCTTCTTTGTTTTTTTTTACCCTGTAAATGGTTCTAAGATTTCCTTTATCAATGGAATGGTGTTTTTGTTTTTTGTTTTTTTACCTTTATCGTGATATCGAGAAAAAAAAACAACTACCCAGTAGTGAGCAGATTTATGTCATATAATGATTAGAATTGCTAGAACTTGCCAACCTCAATAAATACGTGTAAATATCCTTTCCACATGTCTCCATATAGACAGGAATGGAAAGGGGGGGTGGTCAGTAAATGAAATCTTATAACAATGGAGTGGAAAGATACAAAATACTTGATGCACACTCCCACCTACTAATACAAAATTCAATGTATGTCACAGGGTGAATAGCACCATGGATCCTTAATACCAGGCTGGGGCTCCCTAATAGTCTGGGGGGACCTGCTCTCTGTGATCCCTAACACCAGGCTGGGGTGGACCCTGCTCTCTGTGATCCCTGATACAAGGCTGGTCTATGGGCTGCAGTCTGTATACTGAGTGCCTGCTGGGTGGTCTATGGGCTGCAGTCTGTACACTGAGTGACTGGGGTGGTCTATGGGCTGCAGTCTGTACACTGAGTGCCTGCTCTATGGGCTGCAGTCTGTATACTGAGTGCCTGCTCTATGGGCTGCAGTCTGTATACTGAGTGCCTGCTCTATGGGCTTCAGTCTGTATACTGAGTGACTGGGGTGGTCTATGGGCTGCAGTCTGTACACTGAGTGGGTGGTCTATGGGCTGCAGTCTGTACACTGAGTGGGTGGTCTATGGGCTGCAGTCTGTACACTGAGTGGGTGGTCTATGGGCTGCAGTCTGTATACTGAGTGCCTGCTCTATGGGCTGCAGTCTGTATACTGAGTGCCTGCTCTATGGGCTGCAGTCTGTACACTGAGTGCCTTGCTGAGTGCCTTGCTGGGTGCCTTGCTGGGTGCCTGGGGCCCTGTGAGGCCTGTCTCTCCCCCTCTCTCGGTATCTCCGGGGCTGTGAGGCCTGTGGCCCCCCTGGATAGTCCCCGCCCCTCCCCTGTGCGCGCTCCGGTCACTGCGCACTCCCGGGGGTGAATGGTGGCCGCTCCCCTCCTGCCGCCGCGCACACAGTCCGTCTCAGGGATTGCCGTCGGTCAGTCCTGGCTTCCTGGCTCCCGGACAGCTCCCCCCCCCGCCCCCGGTTCCGGTCTCCGGGAGACACCGCGCAGCGCCCGTCGCTGAGCCAACAAAGGGGCGGCTAGCGACATGCTAGGAAAGGCAGATGGATTACTGTAGGATCTGGTAGACTTAGAGTTGTGGATAAAAGGCATTTTGCACAGTCTGTTGCTCTTCATAATTCATTTTCTGCACTTTCAGAGTGTAATGGTGTTGTGGAGAGAGGCACTGAGGCTAGTGGTGTTGTGGAGAGAAGCACTGAGGCTAGTGGTGTTGTGGAGAGAGGCACTGAGGCTAGTGGTGTTGTGGAGAGAGGCACTGAGGCTAGTGGTGTTGTGGAGAGAGGCACTAAGACTAGTGGTGTTGTAGAGAGAGTCACTGAGGATAGTGGTGTTGTGGAGAGAGTCACTGAGGCTAGTGGTGTTGTGGAGAGAGGCACTGAGGCTAGTGTTGTTGTGGAGAGAGGCACTGAGACTAGTGGTGTTGTGGAGACCGGCTTGGAGACTATGGTGAGGCCTAATAGAAAGCAGTTGTTGTTGGGTGATTCCATTATAAGAGGTGTGGAGATGGACAATGGTGGTCTTGTGAGGTGTCTTCCCGGAGCTACTGCTCACAGAGACAGGAGACGTATCTGTAATATTGTTAAGCAAGCAAAGCAGGAAGGGGAATTGGATGTACTTGTCCATCTAGGGACAAATGACTTGGCTTGCAATGAGGTTTCAGAGGTTAAGGAAGTTTTTAGTGTTTTTGCCAATGATATACGGCAGGTTGCTTCCACACTGTCATTCTCTGAAGTTCTGCCTGTGCATAACACTCAGAACGACAGGCGGATGCGTATTAGGGACTTTAATTTGTGGCTTGGTGAATGGTGTCGGAGCAAGGATTTGGCTTTATTTTTCATGGTAGCTCTGTTTGAAATGGATATAAGCTGTACAAAAAAGATGGTTTGCATCTTTCTCAAAAGGGAACAAATGTTCTCAGTGAGCAGTTCAGAGGTTTTGCTAGGATGTATTTAAACTAGGAGGGGGGGGCAAAAGGGTGATAAAACATCAATCCAATTGTCCCCCAAAACAAGGACAGAAGGTGCCTGTAGCAAGTGTGTTAAAAAATGATAAGCTTAGAGTCATGTCTACAAATGCTCGCAGTTTAGGGAATAAGATCCATGAACTTGTGGCAATAATGGCAACTGATAGTGTGGATTTAGTCGCTGTTACTGAGACATGGTATAATGAGAAAAATGACTGGGACATAGCAATACCAGGGTACTCTTTATATAGGAAAGATAGGGAAGGCAAGAAAGGGGGAGGGGTGGCCCTGTATGTGAAGGATAGCATAAAATCTAGCCTAATAAAAGTTAGTGAGGCAAACATAGAGTCCGTTTGGGCTACGTTAGAATTTGGTAATCACACAGTAACTCGTGTAGGTGTGATTTATAGGCCCCCAGGACAAATTGAAGAGTTAGATAATCTACTAGTTGAGGAAATAGCTAAAATGACAATGAAGGGGGAAGTTATCATCATGGGTGACTTTAATCTTCCTGATGTAAATTGGAAAACAAAATTAGCTACTTGTGCCAGGAGCACACATATTCTAAACTCCCTACTGGGATTGTCTCTAAAACAAGTTGTTGAGGAGCCAACTCGTAAAGAGGCCATACTAGATTTAGTGTTATCAAATGGAGATTTGGTATCAGATGTTACTGTAGGTGAAAGTTTAGGATCCAGTGATCATCAGTCAGTGTGGTTTAATATAAGAACAGTGACTGAGTCACACCACACAAAAACAAAAGTTTTAGACTTTAGAAAAACAGACTTTTCTAAAATTAGAATATGGGTAGAGGAGTCATTATCAGACTGGAGCAATTTAAATGGAGTCCAAGAAAATGGGATTATTTAAAAGTTGCACTATTGAAGGCAACAGAAAATTGCATTAGGCTTGTCAGTAAAAGCAAAAGATTCAAGAAACCACTGTGGTACTCCGCAGATGTGGCCAAAATAGTTAAAAACAAAAAGTTAGCATTTAGGAATTATAAAAAAACCCAGAGTGAGGAAGACAAAATGATCTATAAGATTAGGCAGAAAGAGGCTAAGCAAGTTATAAGAGCTTCCAAATCACACACAGAAGAGAAAATAGCACAGTCAGTAAAAAAGGGGGATAAAACATTTTTAGATACATAAATGAGAAAAGAAAAGTAAAACAAGGATTAGTTAGATTAAAAACAAAAGAAGGAAGGTATGTAGAAGAGGATAAAGGTCTAGCTGACTGCCTCAATTAATATTTTTGTTCTGTATTTACAGATGAAAATGAAGGAAAGGGACCTCAGTTGAGAAAAAGGATAAATGAGTCATTTATTACACGTGAGTTTACAGAGGAAGAGGTTCTATTTCAACTGTCAAAAGTAAAGACAAATAAGTCAATGGGACCTGATGGAATACACCCAAAGCTATTAAAAGAGCTTAGTGGTGTACTAGCAAAACCATTAACAGATTTATTTAACCAATCATTGTTAACAGGAGTAGTCCCAGAAGATTGGAAGTTAGCGAATGTTGTGCCCATTTACAAGAAAGGTAATAGGGAGGAGTCGGGCAACTATAGGCCAGTAAGCCTTACTTCAGTAGTGGGGAAAGTGATGGAAACCATGTTAAAGGATAGGATTGATGAACATCTAAAAACACATGGATTTCAAGATCAGAGACAACATGGGTTTACTTCAGGGAGATCATGCCAAACTAATCTTATTGATTTTTTTGATTGGGTAACTAAAATTATAGATCAGGGTGGTGCAGTAGACATTGCTTACCTAGATTTCAGTAAGGCTTTGACACTGTTGCACATAGAAGGCTTATCAATAAACTGCAATCTTTAAGTTTGGATTCCAATATTGTTGAATGGGTAAGGCAGTGGCTGAGTGACAGGCAACAGAGGGTTGTAGTTAATGGAATATATTCGAAGCTTGGACTTGTCACCAGTGGGGTACCTCAGGGATCTGTACTTGGACCCATTCTCTTTAATATTTTTATTAGTGATATTGCAGAAGGTCTTGATGGTAAGGTATGTCTTTTTGCTGATGATACTAAGATATGTAACAGGGTTGATGTTCCAGGAGGGATAAGCCAAATGACAAATGATTTAGGTAAACTAGAAAAATGGTCAGAATTGTGGCAACTGACATTTAATGTGGATAAGTGCAAGATAATGCATCTTGGACGTAAAAACCCAAGGGCAGAGTACAGAATATTTGATAGAGTCCTAACCTCAACATATGAGGAAAGGGATTTAGGGGTGATTATTTCTGATGACTTAAAGGTAGGCAGACAATGTAATAGAGCAGCAGGAAATGCTAGCAGAATGCTTGGTTGTATAGGGAGAGGTATTAGCAGTAGAAAGAGGGAAGTGCTCATGCCATTGTACAGAACACTGGTGAGACCTCACTTGGAGTATTGTACACAGTACTGGAGACCGTATCTTCAGAAGGATATTGATACCTTAGAGAGGGTTCAGAGAAGGGCTACTAAACTGGTTCATGGATTGCGGGATAAAACTTACCAGGAAAGGTTAAAGGATCTTAACATGTATAGCTTGGAGGAAAGACGAGACAGGGGGGATATGATAGAAACATTTAAATATATAAAGGGAATCAACACAGTAAAGGAGGAGACTATATTTAAAAGAAGAAAAACTACCACAACAAGAGGACATAGTCTTAAATTAGAGGGACAAAGGTTTAAAAATAATATCAGGAAGTATTACTTTACTGAGAGGGTAGTGGATGCATGGAATAGCCTTCCAGCTGAAGTGGTAGAGGTTAACACAGTAAAGGAGTTTAAGCATGCATGGGATAGGCATAAGGCTATCCTATCTATAAGATAAGGCTAGGGACTAATGAAAGTTTTTAGAAAATTGGGCAGACTAGATGGGCCGAATGGTTCTTATCTGCCGTCACATTCTATGTTTCTATGTTTCTATGCAACAAAACAATATCCTGCTCACATTGTATTACTTTACAGAATTTTGTGTCATCTGTAAACACTGAACTGTGGCTTTCAATGCCTATTTCAAGATCATTTACACATATGTTACAAGCTAGAAGCAGTTCCAGAACAGAACCCTGAGGGACACAACCTACCATTTTTGCAGCTTGAAAATTTACCATTAATTACAACTTTCTCTACTCTATCTTGCTACACAAGAAGCAAGAACAATTTTCATCTAGACCAATTTATTTTAGTTTGAATACTAACCTATTGTGAGGAACTGTATCAAATGCAGCACCCTGATCTATACTTACTTCTTTACAGAATGCAATTAGGTTAGTTTGTCATGTTTCATAAAACAATGCTGATTATTGCTAATAATAATGTTCTTCCCAATAAATTCCTGAATATAATCCCTCAATAACTCTTTAAATACTTTCCCAGCCACAGAAGTTAACCTTACAGGTCTATAATTTCCATGCATTTTGAACCATTTTTGAATATAGGAACCACATCTGACTTCCTCCAATCTTCCAGTAAAATTCCTGAAAGAAAAGAAAGAAAATATTAAAATCAGAGATTCACTTGTTTCCACACTTAGCTCCCTAAGAACTTGTAGGTGAATACTATCAGGCCCCAGAGCTTTGTTAACATTAACTTTCTTTAGTTGTTACAGCACCTTGTCTTGACTCATCAACTCAAAATTTTTCTGCAACTTTTTTGCAGCAATCATTTGCATATCTCTTGCCACAGGATCATCCTTAATATATACTGAGAAAAAATAGTTATTTAAAACTTCTGTCTTTTCCTGGTTTTCATTAACTAACACGTCCATCCCTGTTTTTGTTCTTTTAAAATTTATGTACTTAAAAAAAAAATTGGGGTTTGGTTTTGCTCTCTTTGGCCATCAATTTCTCACTTTTTAGTTTAGCCACTCTAATTGCCCTTTTGCACGCATTGTTGGTGTCCTTATATCTTATACAGGTTGCCCCTAGTTTGTCAAATTTAAATGCTTTAAATGTCCTTTTCTTATTTTTAATTTCTTTACTTTCCCAATAAGACACATTTTATATGTAGTACCCAATGGTTCATACTGAGAAATTTACCTTTCTTTTAGAATAATCAAAATATGTACCTTTCTATTAGAATAGCGCAAGGTTTGATACAAATAGCAGATGGTAATTTGAAATGTTTGTTTCATTTTCTATTTTAATGATGGATCTAAATATATATTAAAGGGCTGCCAAATAATTTTTTGTGTAAATTTTTCTTTGAGTGCATGTTTCCAACAAACAAATCCACGTAAAAGATATGGTAGAGTTTGAAACAAAAATAGTAATGGTTGGAGGAATCTGCTGTATCCTTGTTAAACAGAGTTGATGGTAATGCCACCAGGATGGAAATTAAGTTGGTGATTTGGAGAAAAAGTCCTGAATTGCTAATTCAGGAGAAATGGGAAAGGTAAAATTTAGAGTTTGGGTAGCATATGTTTGCAAGGAAGTTCAATATGGTCACAAGTTTAATATGGTCACAAGCCAAAGGCAATGCAACAGGTTTGCCTCCTTCTGGATGCATTTTGGACAGTAAGATGTTACAATGTTACATTTTTTTTTTTGTTGTTAATTTTGGCTATACAATTATTTCTCAATATGACCTAACTGAAAATCATGTGTGTGTGTAACAGAGAGATTTAGCTACAACCAATATTTTTATATTGTGTAGGGATTGTATACTACAGATGAGGCATATTGACGTAATTTGGAGTATTTACCTATTTTGTTGGTTTTTGAGTTTAGTGACAGCTTGGGAAGAAGGCAAGCTGGTGGAGGCATGATATGCTCTGGGCAATGTTCTACTGGAAAACATTGGGTCCTGGCATTGTTTTATGATTTTAATTTAATTTTTTTTTTGTTTTTATTGGACATCAACATAGGTTACAGGCATTGCATCAGTACAGTGTATGGGTATATTAGAAACAAAGTATAGTTCAGTTATTGTACACATGGTGTCAAGCAATCTGGCTGTCTGGAAAATGCTAGGTAACAACATTTTGTTAACTAAAAGGGATACAGATACAGTTTACTGGTCTCCCCAGCCTCTGTTTTGGTGTTAGTGGGTGGGTCGGTGGTACGTTGTTGGTACCTCTATGTGTTTGAAAAACTGTATGTGAAGGTGTGATAATAGTAATAGGAGTTTGAAGAGGAGGAATGGAGGGAGGGGATGGTGTTTGGCCCTCTAGTCTGGTGTGGGCACATGTGTTGTGTGCGATAGTAGATCCTGGAGGGTAGTGGGTGAGCAGTGAAAGTAGTGAGGGAGGTAGGATAGGGAGGGGACAACCAGTATTGGAGGGGGGGTGGTGTGTGGGGCATCTCCGCTCTGTGCTCAGTGTCTTTGGGGCCCCTGTGGCTATGCCCTGCTGTCGAGGTGTGTGTGTGCTTTGGAACCTGATTACGTGTCGGTTATGAATCTGACCCATGGCTCCCAGACTTCCTGGAAGAGTGCCTGTTTATGGGAGATGGAGGCGTGTATCTCCTCCATGGTCTTGAGTTTGTTTACCCTGGCGATCCATTCCCTGATTGATGGAGCTACTGGGTTTTTCCACTTAACAGGAATAAGTAGGTTGGCTTCTGTTATGAGGTGGGTAAGGAGGAGTCGTTGATTCTTGGGAAGGGGGTGGGGGAAGATCATGAACAGTAGTGTATGTGGGATAAAGGATAGTTGAATTCCCGTTATCGCTATGAGCTTTTTCACTATATTGGTCAGGTATCTCTGGATTATCGGGCAATACCACCAGATATGGGCTAGGGACGCCCCTGGTTGGGAGCACTTCTAGCACAGGTCCGATGTGTTTGGGAATAGGCTATGTTTTTTGGATGGAGAGTAGTGCCATCTGAAAATTTTCATGTAACTACCTTCCTGTATAATGATGCAGATAGAGGTTGTGTGTATTTGTGTAAAGATATCCTTCCATTGGGATGCTGTAATTTGAACATTGAGGTCTTTGGACCAGGATTCTGTGAAGGGGGGTAGGGTGTTGGTGTGGTCTGACCAGAGGAGTCTATAAAAGGTCGAGAGTTGTTTTGTTTTGATGTTGTTTGTCTTACAGTGTAACTCAAAGTCGGAGAGAGTGCGCAATCCCTCGAACAGGATGGGGTTGGCGCATATGAAGTGGACCACTTGTGCATAGTGGAGAGCTTGCATTGTGTTAGGGGCGCCCGGTCTAGTTAGACTGGGAAGGGGTCGTATTGAGTGGCCTTCTAGCATAGTACTCAGTGTAAGGTAAGGCTCATCAGGCGTATTTTGGATGGGTCCTGGCATTTATGTGGATGGTAATTTGATAAGTACCAACTACCTTGAGATTGTTACAGTCCATTTACACCTCTTTCTGGCAATGGTGTTCCATGAAGGCAGTGACCTTTTTCAGTAGGATATTGCAAAATGCCCCTCTGCAAAAGATGTTCAGGAATAGTTTGAGGAACATGACAAATAGTTCAAGGTGTTGCCTTGGCTTCCAAATTCCCCAGATCTTAATCCCACTGAGCATCGGTGGGATATGCTGTAACAACAAATCTGATCCACGAGGACACACCTCACAACTTGCAGGACTTAGAAAATCGTTTGTTAATGTCTTGGTGCTAAATACCACAGGGCATATTCAGAGGTTGTGTGGAGTCCATGCCTTGACGTATCAGTGCTATTATGGCAGCACAAGGGTTAACCGTACGATATCAGATGGCTGATCAATGGTTAAAATAATAGATTTTCATTATTTTATCATGTATCATGAAATGTTTTATTGGAATAACAGATTTATGGAATAAAAAGCTTCGGAAGGGGCATTCTTTATTTTAAAGCACATCACACACACTTTAGACTTAATAAAAAAACATAATCTAAAAATTCTTTCTCCAGTAAAAAAATGTATTACAAGGCATGTGTATAAGGTATAACAAGGCATGTATAGGCAATCTATTATTGTAAGTATTGTTGAAATAGTGTTGCAATAGAAAACCCCATGTGTGGGCTACATCGTAAACTTGTCTTCCTTATTTTTGTTCTCTTGCTGAAAAATCCAAAATTGAAGAAGATAATGCATGTAAGCTTTTTAAATGACATTGACAATCAAATTTTGATGTTTTAGCCTACAATAAAATAATATTTAAACTTGAATACAGTTCAATTCTAAGTTTGTGACATATACAAATCAAACTAACTAGACATATTAATGAATCTAACAACTGCATACTAAAAAAAAAACGATCCCACTATGAAAACTGGCCTTAGACTACGCTATCTGCAGGAACTCTAAAACTGAAGTCTAGGTGTCTAGGTGTCTTCTATACTCTGTGTTAAATTCCAAATTGCATTATTATTATTATTATTACTATTGTTAGTATAATGCATGGTTATATTTATCTAGGAAATGCACATGGCAAGACCACAGCAAATGCCAGATTTACTAAGAGGATAGTTTCAACTGTCAGCCAGATTGGACAAAATAATAATAATAACAAAGTGTTTAACCAGGAAAGGTACATTCCAATTTCTCTGGTTTCCAAGTATCTTTTTTGGACAAAATCCTCTAATATGGGTGGGTACACACCCATGCAAAATGCAAAATAGTTGACAATTTGGTTGTTGTTTGACTACCATTTACAATCCCAATTTTCCTATATTTTAAGGAAAGTTATAATAATACAACATGTTGATTAACCTGTAAATTGAATTCAAATTACCTTCAAAACTAACTGAATTCAGACATACTGAAAGATTGAATTTAATCATAAGCACACAAAATCTAATCAAACCAACATGATTTCACTACAACTGAACCAATTTCAAACTCTAATCAATAAAAAGACACATCGCAATTTTCAAGAAAAAGGTAGAAATCATCGGGGGCGGGGCTTGGCAACCATGCTGAGCAGCAGAATGGAGAGCGAGCTCCTCGCTTAATTCGATTTAACCACCATAATCCAACACCTTCGCTCGAAGTATGCCACAGACGCATACCTGGCGGGACAAAGGTGCTACCGGTAACACTACCCGTGCACATAGCTGCTGGTAAGACTCGGATCCAACTCGCTTGAAGTGCGGCCTGGTGTGGTCCTATCCGGGAGCTGCGGACGGATTCCTCGGAGGGACATCGCTGACGAGGCTGCGGCTGAATCCCGTTTCCCCCCCCTCCGGGCCGGTGGGTGTTATTCCAGTCCCCACAGAAGCTGACTGCGTTAAACCTGCTGCACTTACCTCCAGTGGCAACCTCGACCCCACTGCTCCCTCAAGATGGCGGATACACCTGGCCCATCCCAGCCACTCACTCGAAAATCCATGGACACTGTCCTAAATCATCTAGACGCAATCTTCCAGGGCTTCTGGCAAAAACTACAAGCACGGCAGAGATCCCAAGCGGCTCAGCCACAGGCAGACAGGCGGGACACCATTACAATAAAGAAAGGTGGGAACCCTCAGTGCAAAGCAAAACCGCAACAGCTCACTTATCTGGTCACTGACCCTCTTGGGTTGGGAGCCTCCAGGGGTGCCACCCCCAAGCTCAAAACACAACTGCTGAAGACAACAGCCCCATGGTGGGTCCGCAGAAGGTGGAGGGGAAAGCTCCACCGCAAGATGGTGAGAACAAGGTCCCATCCACTACACACGTCCTGACCAGACCCGAGCGGAGCACCAGCGACCTGCTGGTCATAACCAAGCAAGCGGCAGAGAGAGGCTGTCACGGATCCCGCAGCCCAGCGGTACACAAGCTGGCTTACCACAATACCGGCCTCCCACGGGCTCGAAGTGCAGGGGGATGTTCCATGCAGATCCTGCTGAGCTTGAGCCACGACAACATCTGCGCTCAAGTGCCTCACAGCCTGCTGAAAAATCTCCCAAGCAGGGATTCTGCTTTACCTCTGCTGGGCATCGGCTGAATGGTGACCGGGACTGTATCTCTGGCATAGTGCTGGTCTACCACAAGTAACTCTAGAACCTGCTGAATATTTGTTTGGTTTTTCTTTTTTCTTCCTTTTCTTATTTTATCTTATTTGTTTATTCATTATGCCTGCTGTCCACTTATCTAGTATCAGATGCCTCTTGGTCATATTTTATTTTACTTTAGCCTGTATACATTCTGCTGCCTATGCAAATAGTCTTTAACCAAATGATTGCTTCACAGTATAGCCTGTTAATGTTCATGTTGCATGTTGATAACCCCCTGACATAGCGAAATAAGCTTGTTTAAATTGTCTATGCCTTAAAACTGGGTCGCTACCTTAATGCCATACCTGCAAAATATTGTGATAATGTCGCACTTACCTAGGCTGCTGTGGCATCAAAGCGGACTCAACATTAACTACAGCTCACCACTGTTTAATAATTCTGCCTCTAACGTCTTGGCACCCAAGAGGCCAGTGAACCAATACCATCTGATAATTTACAGCCGTTTTACTATCTTAACACAGAACCATAAGCATGTCTCACAACCTACGTTATTATCCCTATATACATGTCTAAGACCTCACATGCATAGAATAGAAGCTCTCTCTTAAACTCTCAACTAGACATGTTCTGCCTAGCTTGTACCCCATAACACTTAAAAATGTGCAGTACAATCGAATACCTTATAAATGTTATATGCTGTTCAACTAAATGTCTTGCCACTGCTGTTGGGGCAATGTAAGAATGTTTGTCACACTTATGCACACAAAAATAAAGACTTACAAAGAAATCATCAATCCATTCTTATCATACTGAATGCCTACATCTAACTCTTAAACTTGCAACTATTCCTTTCTGTCAGGGTCATGCCTTCTACTAGAAAATAACACTTATAAATGCACCTTGGCTGAAATTAATCCTATATGTTATATATTGTCATTTAAACTCCCTGTCAGACTGTCACTGTAAAATCATGTCTCCTGCTATATTAGTTTTGTATCCTATTTGGGTTCTGATTGCTGACTGCACCATGTTCAGCTGTTCACCTTTAGCTTATGTCTTATTATCACTGGCATATTTGGCTTGTTGGACAGTCTGTTTAAAGGGACACTATGGTCCCCAGAGCCACTACAGCTTAATGCTGCAGTGTAAAGGCAGTGTTTATATTGCTGGCTAGTAACATCTCTAGTGGCAGTCACTCAGACAGCCACTAGTGGTGATTCCTTGTCCAGTTCTGCTCAGAATTTTGCCATGTGTAATAGCCTCCCAAAGCTTTCCTATGGGAAAGCATTGAATTGGCTGAAACAATCAAGACTGATGTTCTCAGTCATGGAGGCGGTACTAGCCGCAGCAAGATGAGAGCGGTGTGGGAGAAAAGATGAGTAAAATATGTTTGCATTCATGACACTATAGTGTCCCTTTAATCAAGACTTGAACTTGTATTTGCTCACTTATGTTTTTCGTTCTTTCTGAATTGTTGGAATTTGATCCTCATGGGTTAGCTTTATCAAGGCAAAGAGATATTCTTGCAAAGAATGTTGAGATACATTCTACTGATTTCCATTATCAGTCCTTATAGCACTTTGTCCCTGAATAGCACCTGTTTTGCATTGAAAAATGCCCTCCCCAGTTGCCTGCTAATGCGATTCTGATACTATGATGCATGCACATGAAAATCGGGGCTAATCACATGGTCGCGGCATCATGCGATCACATGACCATCTTTAGCCAAAAAAAATTAAAAATAAAAACTTTTTCAGGGTATTATAAAATGCTCGTTTTTTTTCTATTCAAATATATTTTAGAAATGCAATGTGCTTTTATATCAATATGTTTACGCTGTTTTCGTGTATTGTACTACATTTCTGCATTATGCAAATTATGTCATTTGGCGTCAAAATTTGAAGTAGCACCAAATTATAAAGCTTATATAAACATCCATGTACCAGGTTATTGTTTTTACTGGTTGTTTTTATTGCCAATTGATAAAGCCCTGTGTGGCGAAACGCGTTTTGGCTGTTTTTAATCTACTTTCAAGTGTATTATATATTGGCCATTTAAACTTTTTTGTGCCATATACCTTTTTTTATTTATTATTTTAAAATACATATTTTTTGTATTTGTGAAGAAAATAGACTTTTACCTGTTATTTTCTCCTTTTTTTTAATTCGGTATTTTTATATGTGAATACTTGTATATTGAATGGATTGGTTCGGTAGTTTGAAACTACCGAACATCGACCACCCTCCTGGCTAATTTACTTCAAAGAAACTAGCTATTAAATGCTCCCTGGGCAGCCGCTGTTTGTATAACCGAACGCCACATGGAAAAGAAAACGGCGGCCTTCTTGTTCGCACGAGGAGAGCCAGCGGGACTTGGTCGTCGAGTGTCTGGAACTAAAATCGGACACTCGACCTCACGAACTACCGCTGGAAACTACCGAACACCGGCTTCTCATACTTCCCAAACAGCCAGGAGAGCCTCCTTCGGTAGTTCTGTGCGAACGGACAAGGGGAGCAATCGCTACTATGAGCCAGGGGAATCCATTCGGGACTTTTGTTTGTTTTTTGCAGTTTTGTGAATTGACCGACCGCACACGCTGAATTCATGGAACTGTTTTGGGCAGGAGCTGCGTGTGTGGTCGGTAAAAGGGACCCTCCACACTGAACCAATCTGGGTGAAATTTGGATATGTTTGTCCCCCAGATCGGGGCTATCAGGGGATATGTAATTTGTGGGGATACCTTGTGGGGAAAGGGGTGTTCTAAGTTTTGGGGAAATTGTGTGCTCTCTGCTTGGAGATAATTGGTTTATTCCTTAACTTATCTCAATATCTCCCAGGCAGAGAGGAGGCGTGTAATACTGTAAATCTGTGTGATGATTGGCTGTTGCTTTTGTTTGCTGTGGGAGGTCCTCTTTCAGGAGGATTTCTCATAAAAGCCCGTGTGTTTTCAATAAAGATTATTCCTGTTACACCCTTCATGAAGTCTAGGCTCATGTTTGGGGGATATTCTACTTGCTGGGAAGAATCACCTTGGAACTGCATTTCATCTATTCTATTCCTCTACTCCCTGCTGCAGCTATAATCACTCGTGCTCAGCTGTTGGGAGAGGGAACCAAGACAGCAGCACCATAACCACTGCAGGTCTTAACAGTATTATTCTATATCATCTTTTATTTATCTTAACCTGGTCATCTACTACTTCGGAGCAGTTACCCGCACAAGAATCCCAGGTGGGGATTGTACCACATACGCAAGTATAGTGAGTACTTTATTTTCCTACTTCCTTGCTTTTTAAGGAATTACAGTGAGCACTATATTTGGTTTTATTTCTTTAAATACCGAGGACCTGCTTACGATTATCTACACCTATATCCTACCAGTGGGGGATCGACGCCACTGAATGCCATTATCACCAGAGCTAGTCTTAGCTCCCCAATAGGTGAGTGCACATACCACTCTGCTGTGAAGTTTTTTTTTTTTTTTTCTCCTCTTTTTTGTTGTTTACCATCTGCACTATTGGAGTCTCCTTTTCTTGTATTTACATATCAAAATCTGCACCGAGAAAACTCCACTACTCCAAGACCAATAACACACTGAGACCCACAGCGAAATCCAGTGCCTACAAACCTACTTGATCTCCTTCCTGTCCATATCAGGACGTTTTGAACTATATATTTCCTTTGTCTGTCTGATATATGTAAGTACATAATCACAGTCCATACTATAGTACAGTTATTTGTGGCATATTTTTTTTTTTTTGCAGTTTACATTATCATTTTTCACGGTTCATTGTGGCGTAACCTATTTTTCATTTTCACTATCTCTTCTTGATTTGAGGATTTGTGAGGGAACCTCATATTCATAGGTTGCAGCCTCACACTTAATTTAGCTCCTAATTGATCATATAGCGCTGATCCAATTTTTATGTTACATGAAAAGAGATTTTGATGCACATAATTATATAAGCAAAAATAAATGGACAAGATTAAAGCAACACTACAGCGTTAGGAATACAAACCTGCATTCTTAACACTATAGTGCCTTTGTCCCTAGTTAATTACAGGTGCGTGTGTGTCCATTTGCCATAAAAATGAATAACATAAAGAATGTATTGTAATAATTGGTCACTTCCCTGGTGTCAACCATCTTTTTTATACACTTGATTTTTACCTGGCATTTTTTAGTATCCTGCACTCCAAGAAAGCCGAGGTGGGGATCATACCACCAGCGCTGTTACCAAGGAGCAGTTAGCCTGCTCTTTGCCTGTGAGTACTATTTTAGTTGTTATATATACTGTTGTTTTTATTCAGTGAGCACTATTAGTTGTCTCCTTTTACCCTCTTTCCTGAGTGTGAACCATACCTCAGACAGAAGAAACCCACAGCATATCCTATAAACAGGGATTATACCACTGTACGCCCTTCACACTAGAGCTAGCTATAACTCTAATAAATGTGAGTTTATTCCCATTTATTTCATCTATATACATATATGGACTGTTCATATTGCACTATTGGTTCTTTTTATCTGTTTTTTTGTCTTTCATATGAGTGGATTCATCCGGAAAAAGACAGAGGATATCACTCCTGTTTAAGCACCTTATTCTATATTTGATCTGAGTAAGATCCTTTTTATTGGACTTTTTTTTACTGATATTTGTATTTTTTACTTATTTTATGTGTTGTGATTTTTACTTATTTTATGTTGTGATTTTCACTGCTCATTTTATTTTATTTAGAAATTGGCGCAGCACTTACCTCTATTTTTCTTACCCTCACCTCTGCCCTGTACGCTGCAGCCCCACTCCAAACATGCACCTCAAAGAAGACGCACCTCCAACCTTGGCACACTTAGTCAACCTGCTACCTGCAGAGATGCTCCCGTTCAGCTGAACACTGCCAGAGGAAGTCCGTAACTTGTTAGACTTCCTCTATTGTAAATTGATATTGTGTTCATACAGCAAAGCTCTCACCCTTGCTAAACAATCCTA